TGAGTAATATACTTCTTCCTCTCAAATGCACCAATACCATCAAAGTCACTGCGCAAGGTAGTTGAGTTGATGGGTGTCCTTCTCATTGTGGGTGACAACACCAACGACAACTGATTGATACCAGTTGATGAAATTAGCGATGGATCAGAAGCTGTTCACTTTCGGCTTTTATAAGTTTGTTTAACTGCAATATTACCACCACTGCTTTCTTTCACTACTAGTTCGGGTTTGGCGATATCATCTGATGGGTGGGTTACACGCTGATCAATTACACTGACGGTCTCACAAGTATCCTTACCTTCTGCAACTGCATTCAATCCTACTTCACGTAAAAGTTGTACAAAACGTTTATTTAACTTTGCAGTTGTAGGCATTCCCCTCATTTTATCATGATCAACCAAAGACAAATATGCACTATCATGATCATTATCACAAATATTCAAATTACCATCATCAGTCTGGTCGGATTCATCATTTTCAAACTCTTTATTTACAGCAGTGGATGATTTAGGTTCTTCCTCACAAATCCTTAAAGGTTCTATACCTTCACTCTGACTAGTAATACCTTGTAAACTTGTGGAGACAGAACTGCACTCTGAAGCAGCAACTCTATTCTGTGACACTCTATTCAACAATGGCTTACCAGTTGTAACTACAGACTTCTTCACCGCACCGTTATCGTCACACAATTCGGAGTCAGGCCTGGAGTTTACATTTAGCTTATCACTGAACTTGCTCACTGGTTCACAGTTCACCTTTGAATGCACCTCTTGCAAACGTGTAAAACACAACCGTGCTTGTCTTGCATCTTGCGACTTATCTGTTGAGGATGTACTAGGAAACCTGTTACACTCACTAGATCTATATGCATTACTAGACATCATGGAGCCTTCTTGATATCCACCTCTCTGAGGCTTATTCGTCATCACCGAGTGCGTTTTACCCTCAGACTGCTCTATTCTATGGGTGAGATCTAACAGACTGGCGAACTTGCTCATAGATTGATTGACACTAGTATTTACCAGTTTCAGAAAATCATCGAACTTTGGCTCGATACCCTTATCCTCCATACGGGAGCTTATCTTCACCCACTTCCTTTGCAGTCGAGTGGGTAGGCGTCTCGCTATTACTTCTCGCATAAAACTCGAGTTGAGGTCACTCATGCAATTCATCGAAATCAATGCATTCTTGTAAGTCATAAGATTATCCAGAAACTTATCGAGTATCTTGCAGTCATCTTGTAATTGACCACCATTACCCTTAACAGCCTCGAATAATTTCCCTGCAATCATCGAAGATCTTCCAAACCTTTGACGTAATATGATCATAGCCTCGTAGTAGCCCTCTTTTGGCTTCATAAACTTACAGCACTGTATAGCTCTTGCAGCATCTCCAGTGCAATATCTCATCAAATACATTAACTTCATTCCATCATTTAATAGAAAAGCACTCAGCATAATCTCAAACTCCTTTACAAATTGTAAATAATCAGCTGGGTTTCCATCGAAACACCGTGGTTCAAATTTAGGGAGTTTGATGTTCCTATTATCCCTGAACGGCAAAACAGTAACATCAACCATATCATGCTTAACATCAGACACATCGTTAGAAGTAACAGACAAGTCACCATGACTTACTTTCCTGTTTGCATCCCAGACGGTCTGTCCCTTCTTTGACTCAGGCATTGTTGAACTTGACCCGATTCCAAAAACGTTCCAGATATTGCTTGTTCAAAGAAGACTTGACCGGAACCAGGAGAGATGAACGGTGAGTATCCAAATCGTGCCAAATGTTAAAAACCGTATACAAACTGACGTTGTACTGTTAGAAACTGTCAGCCACGTCTCGTAAACCATTAATGCCCAGCTCTTGCTGCACTCGGGCTCACGCTGTTCCTTGAAGTTTCTCAGAAACGCTTAGTAATAACGGACGAAAAAACCAAAACCCCAATTGGCGATTCGAGGATTCTTTATTGTAAAACCAACATATAAACAATGTTACAACTAAGGTTTCTGACAGTTGTCTCCAGACTTCTTTCTGGACAGCGACCGATGAGACGATGACTGGTGTATTGACGCCTGCGCAAAAATTGGGGAAGTTGGGTTTGAGCAAACAATCATGAATTGATCGTTCAATCTTCAACTACATTGACGTGTGTTTTGCTGCATATTTTTGGTAAAACACGGACAATGCAGTGATCTGAGTTTAGTATCGGTGAACGTCTACGTGTTTCATATACTCCTTTGTCATTAGTAAAAACTAGATCGAGTGTTTCGTGAAGTCGAGTAAGAAATTTGACTATGTTTATGTGACCGAGTGCTTCAAGGAAGGAGCGATCTGAGGAGTTGAATTCCCCAGTTATAACGGATAGGGAGCTTTCGAAGTTGACAGCAGCAAACATGATGAATTCATCAGCAAAATTAGATAGATAAGATGGAGATTTGTTTATATTTGGGGAGATGTTTGGGGCGACATTTGACAGTAATACAGTTATTAAAGTCATTTGAGCAGGTGAAACAGACGTTATTAGAGACAGACCATTTGGAGTGAATAAAAAATGCAACGCCACCACCATTTTTCTTATTACAACATTGACGGTCTTGACGAAATAAAATAAAGTCTTTTAGTGAGATAAGATTATCATCATACAGTTCGTGCAACCACGTTTCTTGTAAAGTGATTATGACAGTATTATGATAAGTATCAGTGGACATCAAGGATTGTAGGTACATTATCTTGTTTGGCAGAGAGCGACAGTTTGTGTTCATTATGACAGGGACCGTAGTTAAGTGTATTGGTGTACGTTTGAGAGCTGTCTGCCAACCACTACGATGTTTCCTCCTTGATTTCTTCGGAATATGAAAGTCATTTGGTCGTAGATGATTAATAAAGTTACGAGAGTAAATGATTCATTTAGAATTCATATTTAGGTGATAAATAAATGTTGGTAAACAGTAGACTGGATGCATAATGTAGATATTATAGTAGCAGGCCCAAAAATTCGAACAGGCCGCCAAGTAAACGAATGTTAGGTGAAGGTGATAATTCCTATTAACGTTGCAAAATTGATAATAGTGATGTGGAAATCAAGTCTGACTTTAAGTATCTCCGACTAATTCACCGCAGCGTATTGGCCCTAAATGTATGCCACATGCAGGTATAATGTTTATGAGCTAGGTATGCAAATGAAGGTAAACCCTTGTACGGTACATTCATTATTTATAAAAATAACTCGTACGTAAGAACTGTGGTTTGATCAGTTATACAACGTTTAATACATTTAGACACAATTAACCTACGCTGCTTACTTCTATGGCGCATTACCTAAAACTACCTTAATACAGTTTCCAATGAAGGTAATCTCCTATAACTACCACATTAGTGGGGGACTTGACGTTATCTTTGAATAACGAAGAGCGGTAATTCTGAGAACTTTCTTGGTAAAAAGATAATCCCTTAGTCGAAAAAATTAAATATACCCTAGTCTCCCCAAAAACGTACAGAGGTATTCATCCTATTACCTCAAACGACTCACTATTTGCAGTCATTTAAAAAGGAAAAATAAATTTACCGATGGCAGAGTGCTTATGATTTCTAGATATCATAATGTACCATTAGGAAAATGCTATATCCATGCGGTTATAACAGTCAGATGCGCGAAAACAGTCAGAAACACAACAACCACGATTCTCAGTCACAGAACATCCTGCTTCGCTACCTAATCATATAATCGCATTAACGGATGTTTCGCCGAAGAAAAGAAGACTACTGGTTCAAGGAAAATTAATTTAGTTTTTTTAAAGATCATGGACATCCGTGTTTATAGTCACGGAAAAATCACAACTTCGAGGAAATCGCCGATCGTAGATTACAACCCGAAACGTCATTCTTCCTAATTAATGTCTTACCTTTAACTGGGATAGTTCGTACACTCACCAGATCATCGTATTTTATCCGCTTTGAAAACCGTTTTGCAACCCATCGAATGGATGTTAACACTGGCTCTATTACGACCAGTTCTAGTTCATGTATTTGGATCTAGCACATTAAGCAATAATAAGCATAAGTAACACTTACCCTTAAGGGTTCCAGCTTCTTTTAGTTCTCCTAAATACACACAAGCACAACAGATTCATACTTTTCATGCGGCTCAACCTTGTTTGACTTACATGCTCTCACAATATGTTTTTTCAAATGATAGCAGACATACTGATGGTATATTAACATTCTTAAAAAGCTTCAAAGCTTTTTCATCTTCAACCCAGGTTTTGAATTCTCCAGGATTATGTTCTTTGCAAACCTTGCTCATATTAAATTTGATCGTGCTCTCCTCATCAGATTTACTGGTAGATCGTTTTAATGCTGTGGAAATGAACGTGAAAGACATTAGTTTTCCAAATTTCTACATGTTAAGTAACCAAATGAGCCAGCAACAAAACCTGCAAACAACAAATGGACTGGAGACAACTGCTTCTGCCAGCCAGACATCTTCATGTGCATAATTTGCAAAACTTCTACATAGTACTAATTCATTAATAGCTGAAAAAAACTAAAACACTGAAAGCCGCATGAATGCAAGGTATGAAACAATTACACCGAAATGAATGCACTGACCTGGTAGTGAAAACATTCGAAACCAAGGCAATAAATCATTTTAACAGCAACGGAAACAAAAAATAAGGTGAAATGCAGCATTTGTGAATAATACGCAACAAGATTAGTCGTGTATAACGGCAGGATAAACGGAACAACAAACGCGTACACGAACAGCTACGGAACTGCAATCCAACATGGCCGACTAACATGGACGAAAATGACCTTTAAGCGTCTCACTCCACCAATGACCTTGATAAGTTACGATAATTTCAGTCTGCACGACCGCTCAGTTCAAACTGCATATCACTTATCGAGGGAAAGAGGCTACAGTCAGTGTCAAGGTCATGATGAGTCCCTGCGTTGGCTAGTTATATGTTTTCGTGAATTTGTTTCCCATTGAATTTTAAAGGTTTTTCTGGATGTTTTGTTCATTTTGCAGTGTGTAGGTCAGTTTTTGTCACTGAATGCTACTATTTAGCTTATTTATATAAATAAGGTTGGTTGCATCAAACCACAATATCCAGATTATAACATATTTGATGACTTCGTGGCCCCAATTCCAAGGTGTTAACCTAATTGAAAGCCCTTCATTTTCAGTACTTCGGGTGCCCCCATATTCCAGTCTTCATCTCCTATTGGCAAAAGGACGTGTGTGTGTGTGTGACCGGTAGGAATAATTGTCACAATTTTTATTCATGCTTTAGATTGCCGTCTAACGAATATGCTACTGAATCCTCAATTAAGAAATTACTCGGTAATTACTTGAAAATAATTATTTATTTAAAGATACAAATATGGAAATCATTAACCTGTGCACGGAAATGTTGAACATTATGACTACTGATAGAAAATCTCGACAGCAAACCTACCCTCCGGCAAACGGGGACTTAACACTGCAGTTTCCGATCGAGAATGAATACCAGTTAGAGATGCTGGAAGCATCTTTAAGAGACGAAAAGTACAAACAGCAATATGTGAGTTGACGTATTTAATTCTTATTTCTTGTCGACTGCTAAGATGGCTAGCTGCCTTCAGAGTGATCCAAAGTTATCACTTAAGGTCATGATGCACCATGTTATAAAACCTGAATTGGGTTTGAAGTTTACATTCCAGGGGGCTTTGACAAAGTCAAGCATTGTGCCTTATGCCTTTTATAAAATAATGAGAAGTAAGTTTCATTAATGAAGTAATTAGTTCTCTAGCTTTAGCTATGTCGCACTTCTCCGGCCAATTAATGACGACAAGAGAGATTGGTGAAATGATGGATAGGGCCACAAAATCGTACTTTCATAATTTGAAAGATCGTGTCCAATGGCGTAAGCGGAAGCAAGGAATTCAGGTAATATTGCGAAACGCCTGCTTACTTCTATAAGTGAACGTTTGTTCAACATGTAGTAATCACAATATTGTTTTCTTTTTTAGGCAAATGAAAAAGAAACCGGGGGATATAACAGTGGCACTTATGTAAGTAAACTTCTATAAATGTAAATGCTCAGAATGTGCTGAGCACAATTTTTCACCCACTAATATTTTATTCTGCTTATTTGCAGGATGCTGCCAGTGGATCACACTTGACGGGATTGCAGTGACGTTGTACTACAGTTTATAAATACAAAAGTCTCAATTATAAAAACTGATTTCTTCTGCAAACTAAATGAATTTCGCCGGCGTAGGACACAGGTGATGATAATAAGTAGAAGTCTTTTCGTTCTAAAGTAATGCGAGTCAGTGCTGAAAATGATCTGCGAAGGCTTGAATTCGGCTGAAAAAATTGCCACTATGTGCTGAATTTAGTCTTTTCGTTCTGAATTAGTGCTAGTCAGTGCTGAAAATGTTCTGAAAGGGCTGAAATAAAACTGATAAGCAAACCCGGTAGGTTCTGATCTACTCCTAACAATGCTTAAAAGAAGAACACGGTTCTGAATTAGCGCTAGTTATTCTGAAAACTAGCACTGAGTTCTAGTCTGTGGCATTAAAGAAACGATTTCAGAACAAATTCAGAATTTACTCACAATAGGATGCTAGAATTATTTCAGAATTACTAAGATTTAATTCAGAATTATATCAAGCTTGGTTTATAGCCTGAAGTTCCCAGTTACCATGTTGGTAGTCAAGGATTATAGTAAACCTGCAGTCATTGAGCTAATTAACGTATACTATACCAATATAGTAACATAGACTTTGCTAATAATAGTAACATTAAACTTTCTTGCTGTTTTGCCATTGTTTGACAGTGAAACTGTGCGCTGATTTTTCAGCATGAGTGGCACTAAATCGAACCTGCTGGGTTCGCTTATCAACGTTGTTCCTGCCCTCACAGGACATATTCAGTATGGACTAACGTTACTCCAGAGCGGAAAGTTTTGATTCAGCACGCAGCTGTCTTTTTAAGCACGACCTGTGTCATTTCAGAACATAGTGGGTAAATAAGATCTTCAGTTACCATAAAAAGGCATCATCGGGGAATAGGTTAGAATAAGTTTAGAATTGTTGTAAGCTTGGTGGTGCTGCGGTCTGGGTGATAAATCGTATAAATCACCGTCACTCAGGATATGCTATGAGTATAGCAGGAGTAAACGATTTCGAGGTTGTCAACATGAAGAAATGGTTTACATCAGGTAGTTATAAATGCTGTTGGTGCAAACAATAAGCAGAACTGGTCCCAGTGTAGAGTGTGCTACTGATAAAATTTATCGATAGCATACATGCTATGTATATGAATGCATGCATTAATCGCCACGCAAAAATGAGAGATAGTGGAGAGGTAGATTTGACCTCGAAGAGAGCAAATGAACCAACGTTGAACCCAAGCCTAGGAAACATGGAAAGACAAAGAAATACAACGAAGAGCAGAAGTAACACGATACGGAAGATATGTGCGAATGACCATTTTCATATAAGGTACACATGACTTCGATATATGCGGACACCATATACCAAATTAACATTCCATTGCCAAGTCTCTCGTCTTCTAATGTAACACTAGGATACTACCTTGTATAAACCTATAGGGTACTTGTGTTCTCTTTAGGGTGAGATAATACCGATTGTTATATGCACCCTGTCGCTAGGAAATTATTCCAATCCGTTAAGTAGTGGATCACAAATCCCACAAGATTTCAGCTTCTCGATGAGAATACTGTAGGATAGCATGTCAAAAGTAAAGAAGAAGTAAAGAACAATGGCTTGTGTAAGTGCTCGGTGGCTAATGGAAATTCAGTTGAAAAAAGTCAGGTTGACAAGCTACGCATGGCCTATGTTCGAGAAGTCCATGTTGAGACTTTGTGGTAACATCTCCTCTAAGTAGATAACCTGATAACTGATCCCCAGTAACTTTCTCCATGACTTGTAAGATGACTAAAGTGTATGTTTATAGCCTGTAACTGAAAAATTTAGCTTTATCACCAAATTTTTAATGTGGAACTATAAAGATTGCTTTCACTTACTAGAGGGCGTGCCATTGTCCATAGATATCGAAAAAATCTTAAGAATTATGAAAGGGACGTAATACCCGCAAATTTTGAGAATTGGGCTTTCTGGTACCAATCTGATAGAAGGTCCTCAACATACAGTCCCATCAACTTACTGATGAACACTATGCTTCTGAGAGAGGAGTTAATGAAGGGTATAGCTTTATATGAGGGTGTTTCTAGACTAAAATTAGTAAAACACTCACTGAAACTTTCACAGATGGTGGCAGGACTGCTGTAGTTAACAATATCGTGAAGCAAGTGAGGAATGTGGCTTATCGATCGCATTCGTTTTTCAAGAAGACTTGTCAAATCATAAGCTGTAAAATAACTTCTAAGTGCGCCTTATTCCTCATTAAGGTCATTTTGAGAAGATTAACCACTTGATGGAATCAAGGGACTCATAGAGTGAGGGAAGCAGTGATATATCCTTAGCAGAATAGTGTAGTTTCGACAGATATTTTCTTATTGAGGCATGCATTCGGAATTTACTCAGCTTGGAGCTTATGTCATTTTACCATCACTTTAGCAGCCACAGCACCTCGGCACAGTGGAAGCAGGGATTACGTCACGGCAGAACACAACGTCAAGCATATCGTCGTCCCAGATAGGTATTTGGACGTATTACTTTCATCCGCAGCAATCAGCAGCTGATACCCGGGCGATAATAATCTGCGGACTTCTCGCTCATTAGCATCTTAAGGGTATATGATAAAATCAGATCGGAAAATGCTAGTAAAATTTACAAAGAAGAACTTGTTGCCCTTAAAAGTAACTGCAAAATTAGCCCTTTTTGCAAACTCTTCCAAAACGACTGCAACGAAAACAATGTAACATTCCCTACATTCTTCATAATAATGTTGCTATTAAGGATGATGTAGACATAGCTGATCTCTTTAACAAGCACTTTTCTGACTCATACACGCACGATATTTCTGCGTGCATCGAATTTGATCCTGTAACAGGCAAAACACTGTCAAATATATCTTGACTGTTGATACAATAGAAAGTGCAGTGCGTTCTCAATACTCCTGGACCTGACTCCATTGCATCATCCTTCCTAAAAATTGGTGGCTCCCGTCTCCCTCTCCTTTTGCTTAAAATGTTTTCAACGTCCATTATGAACGGAGTTTATCCTTCCAAATGCAAGCAGACACATATTACTCCAAGATTTAAATCCGGATCAAAATATTACGTAAAGAACTACAGGTCAATCAATATAACATCTATCTTGTGAAGGATACTTGAGAAGATAATCAGTACCAAAATCACTGATTTCTTATTGACTGAAAACCTCATAACACCTTCTAAGCATGGTTTTATAAAATCCAGGTCATGTGTGATTTGCCACTTGATACTATTTGTTATTATAACTGGATTTACAGACCAAAAATTCATCGTGCTCATTATGTATATTGAATACAATATTGTCAGACCCCGAGCATCCTCTCTATACGCATCTCTCTCCTTGTATTTGATCTGGTAGAACTAGAAGCAGCTATAGGAGGCTATATGCTAGGACTACCAAGTACAAAACTCCACAATACCATATCTGGCACATCTGTTATGTGATGAGAAATCCGTTAGGTATTACACGATCAACTCACTGCGGCACTCTAACAAATAGTCCCATTAATTTTTGTTTTCCTTTCCTCGTTACTATGACACTGTTGTTCTCATCTTATATTCCACACTAATTTTATATTTCTTATCCTGTGGTGCATTGTTTAAAATGTAAACGCAACGCTGTTCATTTTATTTATTTTTGTTTATCTTTTCTTTGGGTGTTGCATTTTGATTTTAAAATCTTATTAAAATTTATGAGGTAATTAGATGCAATGTATTGTAATGCAAGCTGAAAATTCCATACCTGTAACACAAATACTGTTTGGAATAAAGCTGCTATTATCATTTTCTTAAGAAGGCATTCGATAAAGTATATCAAAATAATTTACTCCTGAAAAACTTAAGGCTTACGGTATATCTGGCAATCTCTTACAGTAGTGTAATTCATTTATATGTGGTCGATCCCAGTCTGTTAAGATTAACGACACTTTTTCTAGTACTACTCCTATACCAGGTGGCGTAATTCAAGGTAGTGTATTAGGGCCTCTGTTCCTTCTTATATACCCAAATGACATCTGTGATATTATAAAGCACGACAGACCCTTCTTATATGCCGATGACTTGAAGGTGGTCTACCAAAGTACAACACAAGAGTTAAGAGTTTAATATTTATAAGAATCTTTTCTCATTCTTCGTACAATAATTCAACAATTTGAAC